CCATCAGGCACTGGTCCACACGCCTCGTCAGCTCCTCCTCCACGTCGCCATACTTTCCTTCGCGCATACGTTTCCTCTTAATGTTCGAGTCGTTGGACAGGTATTTGTCGCGATTCTTGAGGATAGTATTGAGGTTCGAGTAGTCGGCCAACGAGTACTTCTGGAGCACATCCAGCCGTTTCATACCGGCGTCGATGTCTTTGATGATCTCAATCTTGTCTTCGATGGAAATGGACCGTCGCTTCTGTTTGTCTGAACCCACGGTTAGCGTCAGGTCCAGGATTTCTGACGAGATATCAATCATTAGTTAATTACGGAAAGTGACAAAAGCTTTCACACAAATTCATGCAAATAAATTTGAGGCCCATTTGACTATTGCTGTAAATGTGAATACAGTACAACTACTGTACTGTACTGTACAACTACTGGTAATAGTAAAGTACTGTATAATAAACTGTTTAACATTTAGCTAATTAATACTACACTGTATGGTATTGTATTAACAGTGATTTACTAAAACCGGTAAATTGTATAAATAACCAATTCAATGTCAGTGTTTGTTATTTTAAGTATCATAAAAGTAGTAACAATTACGGTAGTATCAGGTTCATAATAAGTAACATTAACATTAATGTCTAAAAATTTAAGGTTTATTTATTTGTATGTCAAAAAATGTAATCTACACCAAAGGATTCATACCTGATGGGCACTGGAACTCCTCATCACCGCTACCACCACTTCCGCTGCCAAATAGTAGCCTCTCATTGAAAGTCGAGTCATTAAACAGTTTATTAAAGGCGTTATTATTCAATAAATTCATGTTTGTCTCGAAGGGCGCCAAATCACGACCGGCGCCGCCTACCAGCGCTTCAAACGGCGGTATGAGCGCCGGTGCCGACACTAGGGGCTGACTATCCACCGCCAGATTCTGGTTGTGGTTCACCATAAGCTTAGGCCCACCGAAACCCCGCACTCGCTTCAGTTTACCGGACTTCCCATTCAACGCGTTGGACAGGTATTTGTCGCGATTCTTGAGTATACCCGTCAGGTTTGACTTGTGGGGCAGTGAGTACTTCTGGAGCACCGCCGACCGTTTCATACCTCCCTCCACGTCCCGTATGATCTGCACCTTCTCGTCCAGCGTTATGGGTCGGCGCCGTTGTTTGTCTAACGACTGTTTCATCTGATGCTTCACCATTATGTCCAGTACTGGTGGAACGGTAGGTAAAAATGAGACAATTCATTAAATTATAATCATAGCAACTAGTATAATTTTTATAAACTATTTTTTCCATATAATCTGCTGATAGTGTACTAAATTGTAAATATGGTATAAGTTTAAATATTTATGCGGTATGTACAGTATGTTGTGTGTACACTATTCACAATAATTACTTTAATTATGCAAATTTATTATTTTTAAAGTGCTATTTTTTGGGTTAAGTAATAATAATTATTTTTTAAAACAAAAATAAATATTTTACTGTTATGTAAAAGCATTCCTAATACACAGGTATCTATGTGCAAAAAATGCATAATTTCATACATTATATACAGAGTATGCAATATTAAATAATTAATATTCATACACAACTCGTTAAATTTATTAATAGTGTAGTGAATCTGCCATACAGTAGATGTAGTGGTGTGTGAATAGTGTACACAGAAATCAATACACTATTGTAGACATAAGGATAGTCTCTCTCACTGTAGATCTCGAAAATTTGAATATTAAATACAACTAGAAATATTATTACAATGCATTCATTATATAACAATAATATGCAAAACACAGGATTTATGCATAAATTAATGCAGAATATGCTAAATTCTATACCCATATTAAAAACACTACCCTTTCCCACTCTAATAAACCAAACCCTTTAAACTTTAAACTGTAGGATACAGTCCCATATTATGAACAAAAATATTCTGTATAATAGTCTAAAAATTCCCGACTTCCCAGGTATAACCAAAACTGCCAAAAAAAACTCACTATTGGTGTACACTATACAGTGGTTAGCCTTGAGATATAGACAGAGAGAATATTATGGGGAATAATACTAACGTATCTAATAATTATAGTGTATATTATATAGATTATACTGAAATATGCTATTCAATAGTGAAGGGCTGCTGAATAGTGTACAGCTGTGAGTGTGCGCCACAATCACATACTAGGCCTGCCGTGCCTGCGATAAAGTGGTACATACACTATGGTAGTGGTGATAGTGGTGTACACAGTATAGCGTAAATACACAATAGGCTCGTGTATGAATAATGTATGGCATTTAATGGGTATTATGCGAATAGTGTAATAAAAAGGGAAATGGGTTTGAAATGGCGGTTTATACTGTATAATCTGCATACCTTGTATGCAAAGTATTATGATATTCGCGCAATTCATGCGTACACTATAGCTATAGTTCACTAATTTATACCACAAATAGTATACAGAATATATGCATAGGAATTGTATTGGCAACGGGTTATTGACTATCAAAATATTTGACTACAAAATAAAATACACTTTTTGAACTAAATATTGCATTTTGAACTATTTTGGGTGCAAATAATTGCATAATTTTGTTGTTTAGGACAGGTATATATGGGGAAAGGGTGGGAGAACACACCATAATGTTATAAATAATACAAAAGTTCATTACTTTGACTGCCGTCCCCAAACGAGGTGGACTGTAATGGGTGTTCACTATTTGGCTTATTATACACATTATTATTTGCATTATTATTATTGTTACTATTATTTACAACACAATTATTACTATTTAACACATTATGCGCTACACTAGACAGCCTGTCCAACAACGGCTCGCATTTGGCATCACAATCAGGTGGTGGTACACAACTGGAGCCAACACCTGCCGGTCCCTTATCCACAATTAAATCCACATATTTGGCAACAAATTCTTCGGCTTTTGTGTCGAGGTTTTGGTTATTATTCACAACATTTGTCGCAATATTTTTCATCACATTTTTCGCCACAACTCTGTCAACAGAATTCACGCGATTTTTGGCCAAATTTAGGGCCGCTTTTGTCGAGCCCTTGGGTCGGCCCACGGGGTTCACACTCTTGCGCTCTGCCCTCGCGTTAGACCCCCTTTTTAGCGCAGGTTTGTAGCCGTGAGTTGAGGTACCGGCGCCGCCGCCGGCAAAACCCATTTTGTGCGTCAGTCGATAGGCTCCGCCACCGCCACTGAAATGTGCTTTCGATAGCGTGTCGGAGTCCCGGGTCGTGTGCGCCGACCTCCGGGTCGTTTTTGGCACTTTGGGTCGCCGGCAAAACCCATTTTGTGCGTCAGTCGATAGGCTCCGCCACCGCCACTGAAATGTGCTTTCGATAGCGTGTCGGAGTCCCGGGTCGTGTGCGCCGACCTCCGGGTCGTTTTTGGCACTTTGGGCGGCAGTGGTGTGGCTTTGGGGACCACCCAACCCCTCCGCGACTTCACGCGCTTCAGCTTATCCTCTCTGCCGAACCCTTTGGTGATGTATTCGATGTATTTGTCTTTATTGCGGAGTATGGCGCTCAGGGAGGATTGGTATGGCAGACAGTACTTCCGCATAATGTCGGTCCGCTTCATGCCGTCGTTGAAGTCCTGAATTATTTCCAATTTCTCGGATATCGTCAGACATTTGCGCTTTTGCTTGTCGTTGGCGTTCGGGGGGTTATACCCTATTGGGAGGCGTAACACACATACATGAGTTAGAAAATACAATTAAATTCACATTTATTAAATAGCCAGATAATTTCAATAACTATTCAATAATTACGGTATACTGTTTATTATATGAGTTTCATTGAATTATAGTTTAATTTTTAGTGTCTATTAAAATAAAGTTAATCATAATCTGAGCCATAATTACAGTTTTTTCCTCACAAATTGATAAGAGTTTTATAAGTGAAGGGAAAGGCTATATACTACTGTAAATGTATAGCTAATTGTTTGCATGTTTAGTGGACACATACCTGACTGGTGTCCAAACAAGGACTGACTAATTAATGTCTGAATTGAGCTGAGATTTGAGGCAAAGGTGCCATCATTTTCGGTCAATATTTGCTCGAAATTCAGTAGCTTTTCGACCAGATCTTCGTCCTGACACTCATTGCCATCAAATGACTGGTCGGACGACTGCATGTCCGGTCTCTCACCACCACATATACTGAGGTTATCACCGCCTACCTGTCCATCGGTGGACAGGTGAGCCTCTAATGACTGTTTACTAAGCAATGAGTTTATGGTTCTCTCGATTTGCTCCAAATTCTTCAGACTCTTGTCGATAAAGTTGTCTTCAGATGAATGCGAGTCCATGTCGTCGTCATCCATGTCCTCATCGCCCGACGATATGTCTGATGACAAGCGCCTGTTTGGCGCCGATATGTTGCTTATCACTGATTGGCTGAGTGTGTGGCGATTGGCCTCAGGTTTACCGATCGATTTCGTGGTAGCGGTAGGCAGTTGTGCGCCGACTGTCCCCACACTAGCACTGGTGACACTACCACTGGCACCGGGATGTACGAGCGATGTCTGACCCGGCATTAGAATCTTAGGCACGGATGAGCTGATGAGTTGTTTGCGGTTCTTGTAATTGATTATCTCATACGTGAAGAAGTGTTTCTCGCAGACAGTTCTGTAGCGAAGTTGTCGTAAGTTTTTGCCAAATATTTCGCGGATTTTGTAATTTTCGCTGTTTTTCACCCATTGTTCGCACCTTTAGGTCAGACATGAGACACAAAATAAGCGATTCATTAGTTTTTTCCACATTTGTTGTCAATTAGCTATAATTAGTAGCTCTCTCTCTCTCTCTCTCTCTCTCTCTCTCATACTAATAACAATATGATAGTGAGATTATAGATTAATAATCTAAGATTATCCTTGATCAAAGTAAACAGAGTTTTTTATATTGAGAATATACGGAATCCCTGATAGAGTACAGCTATTAGCATGCTACTAATTAATATCGTACCATGAACAGTTGGTGTTTTTATATAATGTACACAAAAATATGGCGAACCCTGTACTACACTATACACTATTAATAACAGACAAACACTCGTACACTATATATACACAACAAAATGTATGCATAATATATGGGAGAGAAAGGCAAATATGTGTCAAAACAGACAAAAACATATACACTATATGGTAGGGTATTAGTACACTAATCACACACTCAATAGGCTACAGTTCCCATTGGCACACACACACCTGCACACATACACCACTAATATTATGTACGTTTACATACAATTAACAAAAATAAAAAGTTTTTATATAAATGGTTAGCAAATTGAAAGTTAGTTTCGATGAATGAATACCTTTTCCTATCGTTAATAGGGTATCGAAAAAACGATAACTTATTTTCAGTGATTATATTAGACTCGCAGCCACTGAACGAGCATTTTATTGTCGGCATTATCCACGAGCACACATATGCACCTTGGTTAATTATTATTAATTATTAGTACAATTTACGCCAAGTTCATTTTAGGCGAGACATGAGTTTGTTGTTTCAAAAAATACACTCAATTTCTCGTAGCGTTTAACACACACTCACTCTCTCTCGCGATTCACAACACATACTGTAATAACACTTCACATCCAACTCTCACTCCCTTTTGCATACATAACGTACAGTTCAGTGCAAAACATACAGCTTTTTGTCTCAATACCTGTCCTATCCTCTCTCTCTCGCGATTCACAACACATACTGTAATAACACTTCACATCCAACTCTCACTCCCTTTTGCATACATAACGTACAGTTCAGTGCAAAACATACAGCTTTTTGTCTCAATACCTGTCCTATCCGTACGGCGCGCACACTCACAGCTGTACACTATTCGTATAATTATCTCTACAGTACACCAAACAACTACCAGCCCTTCACTGTATAAACACATTCACAGTATGAGAGTTTCGCATACAGTGTACGGCATTGTGTGTGTTAATGGTTAGTGTAGTCACTGTAGTGATGGTAAACAAGGAAACTTATTCATGAATACTAGATATTGCTTCCACCCTATTCTGCATATTCACAGTAGGCCCTCCCTATAGTGTATTAGCTATACAGTGTACAAATACTTTGTAAGAATTTGCATAAGGTGGTAGTTATGTAATGCAGCTAATGATAATTAGCTTAGTAACTAGTATAGCTTATTGTGCATTACAGATAGTGTTTGGTTTATTTGCGACAGGTCAATTCAGGACACATTTAGTTTAGTTTATTACATGAAGTGTGAGAATCGGAACACATTTTTTCCGACAAAATTCATATTTTCATAGGAATTAGTGAAACAGAAAAAGTTTCATAATATGTGACAATTCATGGTATACTAGTAGATAGGCATAACGTAATTGTAACTGGGCACTGGTAGTATAGTTGAGATCTAGAATATAACGGAATTTATTGCATATATTTAGCATACGGTATTATATAATATTATATAATGCACAGTAAGTACAGTAGTGTAGAGTTATGCAAATTCAATAATATTCAGTGTATTGTGTAATACTGTATTGATTATTGTGTACACTATTCACATATAACTACATCTACTGAATATCAAACTCACTATAGTATAGTGACTATACTATTAGTGAAATTCATGTACATATAGTGTATTCCTGTTAATAAGAATAGTAATTATTAAGAATATTATTTTGTTTGATTAAATCTGTAGGTATAATACATTTACATTTTCAATATTTAATTTATTATTTTTGTTATAGAAATTCTTATTTTTTTCTATTAGCTATTGTTATTTTGTATTTAATTATTTTCGCTATTTTTTTATGTTTTAGATTACTGTAATTACATAATGTTTAAAAAATTATTACTATTTACTAGTTAAAACCAGATTTCTTATTACATGTACGTACAGAATAGTACTGTTCTATACGCCATTCACAATGTGCTGGTCAGGCGTATCAACCACCCGGAGCACTATATTACATGTGCCTATAAGGTCCCACTGAGCGAATGGAGTTCCTCCACCAGCGCAACACATTTAAAGTGAATCAGGGGTTTATATGTTTGCATTTATTTCTTAATTTTTAATTTTTTTTTCATTTTTAATATGTATAATTTGAATGATAAAAAACCAATTAATATTACCCAATTAATCCAACCAATTTATGATTAGATTTTAACAATACCTTATATAACTTTACAAATGTACAGTTGAATAAATTATCCATAAGGTTTATCATTCAAAGTTTTAAGTTATACAAAGTTTTTTTTAATTAAACTCGTATTGATTCATTGTTAGATTATGGTGTAATAAATTATATTCAATTCATTGATTTTTTCTTAGGTATATAATAAAAACAATTAATTTCGACATTTGCATAAACGCCCAAATGACAAATCAAGTCAATATAAAATTAATTAATTTTCTTGATAAATAAGTTTTGTATTATTATACTTGAAATGCTGTAAATAGTTACATTTAAAAGACACATACAGTATACTAGACTTTATATTACTAGACACATTAATTCACACCGGATACCATCGTAATTTAGGCAATGGATTCTAACACAACTGTCCCCAAACAGGCAATTCATACAAATAGGCGCATTATGGAAACACAGATCAAGGTATATTTTCTGAATAAGTTCACTAATTAAAGTAATAATAGCTATTAAGTTAAAATAAAAATAATAATAAGCAAAATAAATGTTTTAATTAATTAAATACAGTATATTAAATATTTATTTACTATAATAATTAATTAAACAAGTCAATATATAAATTATATTTTGTATTCATAACTATTATCAAGTTTAATTTACTAAACACAATACATAACCACAACTTATAGGTGGACGAACTGACAGGTATTATGAGACATAACACGGAGTTATTGCTGGAAAAGGACATCAAATTGTCGGATATGGAGCGCATTAGTGCAGACATACAACATGGGGCACAACAGTACCAATACACCGCCAGTGGGCATCACCATAATTGCTTGTGGTATCATTATCGCAATCGTCTCATTATTATTTTAGCATTGATCTTGATCATAATATTGGCGTTCATTTGGATGTATTATGGTTAAACGATATTTTGTATGCAAAACAATATATAAAATTAGATGTTGGCTTATAACTAGATAAGTTGCTATTTCATTTAATAGACTAAATTTTATTTGTGTATATGATTTCAATTTTTAACTAAATTGTCCAGCTATAAATAAGTTTTCAGCTGGTACCGGCAGTAACACAAATGTATAAATGTTTTCATTTAATTGCCAAAACTTATAGAATATATAATCTCTAATTAATACAACAGTGTATTTAAATTGTATATCAATCTGACTATGATCATAAAAAAGGTGTAATACATACAACTTAAAAAATCAAAATTTTGTATTAACCTGGCTAATTTGTGCAAAAGTGTGTATTCAATTTATAAAATTATTATTTTTAAGAATAAATTTCTAAACTGAGGCATGTTTGTATTTTTATATTTTAAAATTAAATTTAAAAATTTTGAATTTAATAATTAATTAAAAAACACCGGAATTTTATTTTGCATTTTCATTAAACAAAGTTTGTTACTAAAACTGAATAAAATCGAAAACTTTACAAAAAAAATCTTAAATACAATTAAATTAAAACCAAAAAACCTCAACACAACTAAACCTCCAAATCATAGAAATCATCACAACGACCACAACCAAAGCCCAAACACTCAAAAATCAAGACTTATGTCACAAGTGAGTGAACAGGTGTTTCCCATTACAGGAGTGGGAGTACTGCGTCGAGTACTGGTGCGCCGGTACCCCAACTACCAGCCGAGTGTTGTTTCCAAACAGATCCGAAGTATGAATCTGTCGGTTGTATACGAGGGACACAACAGGACACTAATGCTCTACATACCAGTCAACGGGGAATACCTACTCGACGATCGGACACAAACACGGGAGCCGTTCCTCGTGTACATGACATCACTGACACGTCTCGGGTCGGCCACCAATTTGGCGACAATCAAAACCAGTCCCCAAATCCTCGACTATTTCAAGTTTGTGGCGAAGAGACAGTTTGGCTATCATTTGTACTG